TTTCTGGATATTATTCTTTTCTTTGTTTTTTTTTGTTTGTTTGTTTGTTTGTTTTGTTTAATGGAATGTGCTGAATGTCTATAATTTTGTTCAGATGACTGCAGAACCTAGAAAAGCTGCCGTTGCTATCAATGCATAATATACTGCTATTATTAGTCTTTTTATATACATATAAATATATATATATTGAATTTTGGGAAACTTTAACCATGCTGTCAACTTTGGAAAAAGTTATCCCAATTTACTGTGTTAAGTTGACATTGTACAGAAATGGATAGCCATATTGGTTGAAAAATGTTAATTTTTTTTATTTTTATTTTTCCATTTGTACAGGGGTAACTCATTGTACTAAATATGTAAGGTCATATCTACGTGGGTTTGATTACAGAAACTAATGAAGTATTCTCTAAATAATGAAAAAAAAGAATAAGATAAGATAGTACACAGAGGATCCTAATGAGATAATTAATAATGTGAAATAGGAAGTAAAGGGCTAAAGGTGTAGGGAAAGTGGTAAGGGTGGGGGAAAGGTCATAAAGGGGAGGAAAAAATGTGAGAAACTGAAAAAATGGAAATAAAGTGTTTGTAAATGGGGAGGGGAGGAGGGGGTGAAGGGAGGACAGGGACAAGGGGAAAAAATGAGAATCAAGACCTTTTATGTAAAAGTACTAATGTGAAATAGGAAGTAAAGGGCTAAAGGTGTAGGGAAAGTGGTAAGGGTGGGGGAAAGGTCATAAAGGGGAGGAAAAAATGTGAGAAACTGAAAAAATGGAAATAAAGTGTTTGTAAATGGGGAGGGGAGGAGGGGGTGAAGGGAGGACAGGGACAAGGGGAAAAAATGAGAATCAAGACCTTTTATGTAAAAGTACAGGATCCCAGTGATGAATGTAACTGTATTATATACCTAGATTGTACCAATAAACTCAATAAAAAATTTTAAAAAGCATTTTATTTTACTTGCTGTGTTTTTTATATATAGTTGACTCATTATTCAGGGTAGTTATGTTCTATAAAGTCACTTTGAACAATGACTTTGCAAATGCTGAACCATTGCTCTTGGGTGGAAAATAGGGTTAAATTTCTATGGCTATAATTTTCCTCATATGAATCTTATTTTTGTTAAACTTTTTTCTAGTTTCTTTTAAAGTAATTTAAAAGGGATTTTTATAACATGCATAGCTGGTTATTGCTAGCATAGTGAATATGAATTTGTACATATTTATTTATAGTCTGTCTTCACTCAAAGCCTACTAATATAGTTTTTGCTAGAGTTCCTTGGGGTTTCTTAGGGATTCACAATCATATTAGCTGCAGATGGAAGCAATGTTGTCTTTTCTTTTTCAGTATTTCAATTTTCTTTTTTATTACATTTACAAGAACTTCCTAAAATATTTAATAACAGTGATGATATTTGATAGCTAGCTTTCAATTATGTTTTTGTAAATAAAAGTATTTTCTTTTCAGTGAGAATAATTATGTGTAGTAAATAAATTCACATCAAAAAGGAGGAAGCTTTTTACCACACATTTTCTTTGCTGAATCACTGAATAAATTTATTACTCTCACTTAGTAATAACCATTAACCTCTTAGAAGATGGTCAGTGCTAATGTACTAACTCAGCAGATATCAAGAATGCATTTTTGTGTATTTCCACATTGTAAAATAGCAACATTCCACATTCATTTCCCTTAGGTCTAATAAGAATTTATGAACTCATCAATACCCAGGCTAAACTGAAAATTATTAATAACATTATTTTGAGGAAATAACCCTATTGTACTTGGGGCACAAGAACGGAACAGTGAAATTTTAACAATCTTTATGTCTTCATTGTCCTTGTCATGCCCTTTCTTTATCTTGTTTCTACAAGTACTACTCTGAGATTGTGAAGGACAAGGTATCCTTACTATTAGGTAAAGAAAGCGAGTCTAGGAAAAATAAAGGCCTCCCCCGAGGTCACACATGTAGCTAAATGAAAGTGAGGCTTTCTGTCTCTATTCCAGGCTGGGTCAAACTTCACCACCTCATCCCAACATCGTGTTCCTGCACTCTTTCTGAATTTCTTTCATAGTTTATTCTAAAAGGGTTTATGAGCAACCTTATCCATCAATACACCCATTTTGTTATTCATTCATCTATCCGTCAGTCCATCAATTCATCCAGCAAACACTGAGCAAGGTCTAGATATTGTTATAGACTAGCAATACAACAAGAAACAACAGAAGATTCCTCCCCTCATAGAGCTTACATTTTCATGAAGGCAGGCACAACAGTATATAAGTAAGTTTAACAAATCAAATTTATGGAATGCCAGACAGTGCAGAAGTGCTTTGAACAAAAATAAAACAAGGAGAATGATTGGGAGTTGTAGAATGATTTGTAGTTGTTGGACAGAGGCCATCAGGCAAAGGCTGTAAGGATGAGATGACATTTGGGCAAAGACCTCTGGGGGTTAAGCTATGTCTGGAAGTACTGGTCCCCCTCAGTAGCAGTGTACATGGTATGCTTGTAGACCAGCCGGGAAAGGCATGTGCCTGAAGTAGAACAGGTCAGAGGAGAGGCACGTGAGGGCTCAGAGCTGGCAGGGAGCGGGGTTTTAAAGCCACTGGGAGGACTGTGGCTTTCTGTGAAGCCATTCGAAAGTCTGTGTAGAGGAATGACATGCACTGACCCAGACTGGAGAAGATCTTCCTGTCAGTGGCACTAGAAGCAGTTTGTGGAGTGGCCAGTGAGTTATCTTAAAAAAATAATAAAGACATACAGAAAGATACACGTACAGGGATGCTATGCTGACTGTGGAATTATGGGGGAGGCAAAACTTGGAAATTTTCAATGATAAGTGATTCCTTATGAATTAAGGCACCTCCTTATAAGAGTGAAATTAAGGGCAATAAAAATGCTATTTTAGAAACTGACAACACGGGCTGTGTTCTCCAGTTAATGGAGGTGAAGTGAAAAATGAAAAATATGCATCCATAGCATAATCTCTGCTCTGGTAACATTAAAATGTGGATGATACTCATCCGTGATGAACTTTCTGTTTTGTTTGGTTTTTTTAGTACCGGGGATTGAACTCTGGACCTTGTGCTCATGAGGCAGGTGGTGGAACCACTGAGCTAAATCCCTGGCCTGGCACTCTCTGTGAACAGTAGAACACTGTCTTTTCCTTTTTAAAGAGAATAAAGTATTAACTCTGAATTAGGCTCCCAAAGACAAGCCATCAGAAAATAGAAATATAGAGAGAAATTATAGAAGAGTCTTCTGTGTCTCTGATACTCTCCTTGCATGGCCACTTAAAAGGCAAGACTACCTTTCACTTGTACTTTTAAATTCAAGGCCATTTCTGGAGGGAAAAGGCATTTTCATCCCTTCCTCACCCTACCACCTGCCTTCTTTAGCGTTTTCAGCTGTACAAAGCCTGCTGCCACACCCTGTGCTGCCCACCCCAGGCAATATCCCACCCCTTGGGCTGCCACATTGTGAAGCCCTTTTTTTCATTCGCTTGACTTTGCTGTGGTGAGCTGGGTCCTCCAGTTTTGCCTGCTTCGGCAGCCATGGCCTTCTCAGATCCCCTTTTCTCTGACTGCACCCCTGGAACAGGTTGTTTCTGAGTGTTCTGAAGAGAAGTTTTGTATTCTCCTTTGCTGACATCTGCTGAAAGGCCAAAGTCTTTAAAATGTCATCAGTTTTGTCTACACAGTCTTCTTTTCATGCTTCGGTGGACAGAGCATGATGATAGGTTTTGGAATTATTTATTCTACTTTTATATCCTTAGGAAAGTAATCTCATTTCTTTACTCCTGGAATTTCTTCACTTTCTCTCTCTGTAAATATCCACATAGCCTAGGTCTCCCAGGAAGTGCCCCAATTTCCCCATTAACTTCTCTTCTTCAAAGGAACTCAGTAATTTGAAATTCTAAAGCTAAAAGAGACAATATAAGTACAGTCGTCTCTAGTTGCTAACGTGTGGAGTTGGGAATTCCTTTGAGAACTTATGGTAAGGTATGGATTTATCTCCAGAAAAATACTCATAGATCTAATCTTGTATATAATTTTAGTGGATGTATGGGCCACGTGATGCCCATCTGTTCACCGCACTTAAAGAACTTCTGCGAGAGGGATTACAAGGGGACGAGAAGAGAGCAAGAAGGCAGAGGGAATAGCAGAAGGGCAGATGGATATGAGCGACACAGAACATATACATGTCTGGAACTATCACAGTGAATTTTATTAACCAGTACAATTAATATGTATCAATAATGATAATAAAAATAAATTTTTAGACAGAAAAGATTAGAGTACCAAAAAGAAACAGAGAAGAAACAGTATGTTTGATCAAGGGGTCTTCAGCAGTTGAAATTTGTAGTGTACTAAATAAGTGACCACATGGTGCCGCTGTAACATCATGAAGCCCCTGGCTTTCAGAAACAGGAAACAATGATAGGCCAATGAAATTACAGGACTTGGTTTGCAAGACCACCACAAATTATTTGGCAAGAGCCAGACACTTGACTTTTGGGAACCATTCATGTTAAATAGAAAGAGGGAAAGTTATCATCGACAAAGACTTTCATTTAACACCCTTTACTACTGTGGTAGTTGAGGGGAGTATCATCTGCATGGAGAAACTGATTCTCAGGAAATCAGTGATGAAATGCACCATTCTTACCTTAAAATTTAGAAGACTTTTTGCTAAAATGTGCTGTTTTACTTTTATTGGTTCTTGGAAAGAACTAAATTCACTTATTGAATACTAATCATTTTCTTAAAAATATTGAAAGGTGGTTGTAAAGCCTGTTACTCTTTCAGTCAAAACTGAAATAATAATCTTTCTTTTTGACTAAGGAAAAAAATACTTATGGCTCAAGAAAAGATATGTTACAAAGAGAACTTTTCTAGAAATATGCTATCAGTTAGAAGCTTTGTTGAATCATTTTTACTAAACCAGAGTCCTTTTATTTTTCATCTGTGCAAATTTCCAATGCCTCCTTCTCTAATTTTCACAGATAGCTTCTAGTGCACAGTATGGGATCAATGGTCAATTGGACTCTATTCAGCTTTTCTTCTCTTCCCAAAAACTTTTTTATTAATATCTGCAATGTAAATAAAGTATATTTATATTGAGGGATATTTAAAGTTAAGCTTCCTTAATGTTAAATACGACAGGCATAGAATCTGTGGATTTACTGAAAGGAAGTTTTTTTTTTTTTAAAGTTTGTTGCTTATAAAGACTTGATGAATGAATACTGTAGCAGATTGCATTAGACATTACTTGAGCAGTGTTCAATTACAGGATGTGACTTCTGGTGGGACTTGCTGTGGAGACCAGATAAGAAACATACCTGGCAGATGTCAAAGTTGAGACACTTCAGACAGCGGTATCTACCAATTAAAATAGAAAGACAGCTTACATCATTACCAGTAGGAGAGCAAGGAAATAATACTTAGGTGGAGGGTGAGCCCCACAAAACTTACACATGTATGAGCTGTTCGGTGAGTGTAAGATTTTTTTCAAAGTTGAGAAGGGCATTAAATAACCTTGATGTGTGTTTATTTAATCAAAAAATATTTTTGGTAGTATTTCTTATGGCTTATATCTAGATGTATCCCCAAAGCCTATGTGCTCAAAGGCAAGGTTTCTGGAAGGTGGGTGGATCATATATGTGTGATACTGGATTAAGGGTATGGGATAACTGAATTAGTCTACTGATTGGTTTAGCATAGTTTTGGATGTTGATGATGGGAACGCCCACCTTGGTTGTGGGTGGCAACAACCAATAGGCTTGTAGTCTGGGTGGAATATAAAGGGAAAGGAAAGCTTGCTGCTGACTGCCTCCTGCCTACCCTGCCATGGACTGTTTCTCCTCTGCCATGCCCATCTACCATGCCACCCTGCTTAGAGCCAGCTAACTATGGACTGAAACCTCTACAAACTGTGAACTGAAATAAACATTTCCTCCTTTAACATGTGAGTGTCAGCTGTTTTGTCATAGCAATCAGAGTGCAACTAAGGCAGTATTTTTATAAGGCATTACATTAATATAATTTTATGTTAGGGCATGGTACATAGATCTGGTTCCCCTTCCCCTATCTCCCACTACCCTATTATCACATGCCTTCTATATGCAGGGTTCTGTGTGCTACAACCTGTAGGAGAAACACTTAAATCTCCATAGATTAAGAGGGACAACTTCTGAATTTTGTGCCTTTTGTACTTTCTTTAGAAGACCAAGGCTTTGTCTTCTTCCTCCTACCCTCAGATCTGTGAATCTCCCATTCTAAAATGATGTTATTAATCTCCCTATAGCCAGAGCTACTGCTTGAGCTTTCTGAGAGCCAAGAGCAAGTTTACGGTTAGGATTGTAATAAATCCGAACAATTTTTAATACTTAGAAAGTTAGAGCTTAAAGAAGCCCACACATTATTTAATCAACCCCTCCTTCTTTTGCTTTGCCCTGAATGCCTAGGAAAAAAGATACCTCACATGGAAGCATTTTGAGGAGGAAGCTGAATATCATTTCTACCAGAGAAGGAAATGTGAAAATGGCATTTTTCCTCTGCTTTGCTCAGAGACCTGAGCAAATCACTTAAACTTAAGCTTTAAGACACTCAGTTGATACCATATGCAAAATAGAAATATCTCATGTATGTTAGGCATAATGATTTTGAAACAGTATTTCAACGTAAAAGTAATGTTTTATATAGCTGCAAAATTAATTCTATCCCTGATCTAGTGCAGAACTTGTAGCAATGATATAAAACACAACTTTTACATTGCTTATTGGCTAAATGACCATAACTTGCATACAACAAGGTAAGTAATATTTCTGTTCCTGTACTGTCAGATATAAGAAGAGCTTATTTTTTCTTGTAGTATGGAGATTTCTGTGGTCTTGCTGGTTTGGTTTCCAGTGGTCCTTCTGTTAGTATGTTTTATTGTTTGATATTCAGTTAATTGAAGAGAAATTTTGCTGTGCTCTCTAAATTCCCTACAGACCCGATTTATTTTCTCAGCAAAATTAAAACTTAATTTCTATGTTTTTAGTGGGCCTGGTGGGCCTATTTTATATCTGTGGGAAACATTTTTAAGGTCTAATTATTTAAGGCCAGGAACTATGCGAAAGGAAGAGCCAAGCACTGGGGCCTTTGTCCTCTCCTTTCTGGGTACCCCAGTTGTGACTTCTTCACCACCTGTGTCCCACAGCTTCCTCCCCAGACCTGTGCCCACTCACCACGAGTCATGGAGATGCCAATGCTTGGCCCAAACCTGCTGGTTTCCCTTCTCTTTCCCCCAAATCTATAATAAACCATAATATTTTACTTCCTCATTGTTTTATTTATGGCAGACATATATCACATTTTCTCTAAGATGGAATTTTGACTGTCATCTTCAAGGCTGTGGAAAGGCCCGAGTCTCTAACTCCTAAACTTAGCTTTTAAATCTTCTCCTTCACTCTAGGCAGAGAGAAAATCTGGCTTGAATTGCTCTTACAAAAGCAGACTATTCCTTCGGGTTCCATACCTTGCTCTCAATTGTCTACCTTGGAATGGAGCAGAGTATCACGATTGCAAAGCAGGGACTCTGTTCAGACTGCCAGCCTCTGCCACTTGTTAACTACGTAAACCTAAGCAAGTTATTTAACCACTCACCAGGCTAATAACTCCACCTTTGTAAGCATAGCATATTTTAAATAAACTGATCTATGGGACCTATTCAGCCTAGAATTTGCTTAACACTTAACAAATATAAACTAACATTGTTGCTGTTACAGATGACTCTAAAGTATTTAAAAGGGTTTGCTATTGTGCTTGTTGTTGTTAAACAAAAGACAATTTCTTTCTCAGAGTAATGAAAATATTGATCGTAGTATGAGTCAGTGGAAAATTTATGGAAGATAAATTTATTTTCAACCAGCCTGCCTCAAGGAGGGAATTATTGTGCTGAAAAAGTCAACTGATTTCTCAGAGAGAATGGAGAAGAATGCTGCCCCAACTCTAGACCCACTTGGAGAGTGACACCCTTGAAATAGAAATGATTGTACCTCAGTCTGTCCCGTGATCAGAAAGGTCCTGCAGATGCTGCAGCACAAGGGGTGTGTGACTATTTCTGTGGCTGATAGCCAGTAGCAGGTTGGCAGCCACAACAGGATCACAGGCTCAGACTGCACCCAAGACAGTAATTTCTCCTCCTTGATTCCTGGGCTCAACACCTGAAAATCAACAGAATGCTAAGATGTTTTATTAGGCTCAACTTTATATTTTTACCTTTTGGGGGGCACTATTTCTGTCTGTTCTGTTAAAGAAGAGTATTGTATGAAAAGATGGAGGCAAATCTACCTGCTAAATAAGGTTATCGGGGCCATGGTGTGGAGTCTGGTTTGAATCCATCAGCAAACTCCTGGAGTTTGTCTGCCCTAGACCCCAGCAAGGTCTCCATGGCACTCCCCCCACCCCGGAAACAGCTGCAGACAGCACTGTCCACAGAGCTCAGCATGTGACGCTCCCCATGACAGCTGGGATCTGCAAAAGGAAGCCTCAGTTCAGCAGCCTCTAAGTCCAGAAGTTTGTGGCCACCTGAATCAGAGCACTTGAACAATAGCACTCACAGCCATAGGGTCACAGTATTGGGTTTCCAAGTCTGGATGAACTACCCCAGTCCAAGCAATAAGAAGAAATCTGCAGGATTTGTGCAATGTTTGAATTGAAGCAATGAATGAACAAGGGGAAGAGGAGGAAGGAAATAAGAAAGTCTGGAAACTGGTACAATAAAGAATAGCTTATATTGATTCACTTCTTGTGACTTCAGGCAAACTAGTTTAGTCTGTCTTTGTCCTGTTTACCATGAAATGTAAATCACAGTAAGACTGCATTATAGTTTGTAGTGGTTTTAAGAAAAAGCTTTGCCAATGTTTTCACATCATCTCATTTTAACAAATACTATTCTTTAGGATGCTAATTTTTATCCTTGTTAAAACAAAGGGGGTGACAAGAAACAAAATCACTATGTCAAAATGATACCCGCATCCCTATGTTCACTGTTACTCACAACAGCCAAAATCTGGAAATGACCTAGGTCATGAGTGGAGAAAATATGGTATCTATAAACTGGAATATTGCACAGGCTTTAAAAAGTAGAAAATCCTCTTACTCGCTACAACATAGATAAACCTGGAAAACAATAGTTAAGTGAAATCAACCTGACACAGGAAGATAAACACTGCATGATATTCCTTAGATGGGGAATCTAAAAAGCTGAATTAATAGAAACAGAGAGTAGAATGGGGGGGTGTCAAGGAGGTAGAGGTTTGTAGAGGAAAGGGAAGGGACACAGAATTTCAATATACGATGAATAAATTCTGGGGATCTGTGATTGTGATAGTTCACTGAGTGTGTCAGCCCGAGTAAGAAATGCCCAACTAAATTATTCTGGGTGTGGCTGACAGTATTTTCTGATCACAGAAGACCCATGCTGGGTGTGAGTGACAGCCATGGATAGGCTTGTAGCCTGAATGGGATAAAAAGGAAATGAAGAAGGAAGTCTCGCTTCTGTTTCTTTGGAGGAGCTCCAGTCCTCACCTTCACCATGGATGATGTCTCCCCGCTTCCAGTGCACTCTTTGGAACTTCTGGCATGGACTGGCATGTACACTACACTGAGCTCCATGACTTCAACCTTTCATTGATCCTTTAGATTTCCAGAGCACAGACAGCCCTTTTCCACTCCTCTACACCTGACTCTATGGGCTGCCACTGTAAGCCGGTCTTTTAAGTTCTTATATATTTATATATCTTGCATTAAGTCTGTATCTCTAGTAAGCACTGACTGATAAAGTGATGTTTAATAGTTTGGAATGAGAGACACCAAAGTAATTAGGAAAATACAATTCTGGGTTTGTCTGACAGGTGTTTTGGGACTGGCATGTGGGAGAGCGAGCTGAGGGAAGAGACCCACACTGAATGTGGGTGGCACCGTCTACTAGGCTGGGGACCTAGAATGAACGAAAGCACAGGAGGAAACTTGAAAGCACATGTGCCGTTGGCTCTTCTCTCTGTCCGTGCTTCCTGCACATAGTGAGCTGAGCAGCCTTCCTCTACCACACCCGTCCACCATAGTGTTTCTACCTTGGCATGGACTGACAGGGCTGACGCCTCTGAAACCTTGATCTGGAATAAATGTCTCCCTCTTTTCATTGTTTTTGTCACATAGGTTGTTACAGTCATGAAAAGCTATCACAGGATTTAATGCAGAGCACAGTGATTATCGTTCCTAATACTATATTGTTTATTTGACATTTGATATGAAAGCAGATTTCAGGTGTCCTCACTGCCACTCCACTCATACACACAAAGAGTGACTGTGGGAGTGACGGATGTGGTTTAGTAATTTGACTGTGGTGATCGCTACATAGTGCATAGTTATGCCTTTTTTTGCCTTTTTCAGGTATGGGTTTGCCCTGTCGTCCAGTCTGGCCTCAAACTCCCAAGCTCTGATCACTCTGCTTCACCCGAGTAGTTCGGGTGACCAACCTACATGCTTACATCTTGACTACATATAGTTTTCATTGAGTTAATTAAATATTAAAAAAATAAATACAAGAATGAGTAAGATTTGACATTTCCCTCAAGGCCAAAGAAAATTAACTGCAGAATTGGGGTTTCACTCCAGAAATCCTTACTCTTTTTTGAGAGATTTTTATGAAGCTTTGTATCACCCAACTTTATAGATATTCCAATGCCTCGTTCAGTTGTGTACATCTTTCAACCCAGTCACCAGAACAAATTTAACTAAGGGAATAAGAGCCTTTTGTGACTGCCATCATGTCCAGGGTGGCTTGGTTCTGACATCATCTGTATGCACAGATATGTGTATTGTCACCTCCATTTCTTTCCACCTGGGCAGGAGTCCTAATTCACATCTGACGGCTTCTACAGCACAGACTGTCAGCAGGCATTGCCTGCAAGCCCAGGAGTAACCTCAAAGACCCCTCCCCCGCTGAGTTCATCAACTCCAATAAACACTCTTCTAATCAGGAAAGTGGTACTTAGAACCTCTTTGCTGACAATTAGCCAAGAAGAAGTCAACAAACATGTGCGTAAGAGTGACAAGATGGTTTGTACTTTAAATTGATAATAACAATGTTGTCATCAGTCAAATGTAAGTAACTACCCCCTAGGTTATTGGGCCTTTGTCTGAAAAAAACAACTCATTTCTCATCTTTTGGCTCCCAGTGTGGATGAACGAATTTATTGGGACTGTGTTGCTGATTTAACATTAATGCTTCTCCATTGTCCTTGAGCCCTGGAAAAGGAGTTTCACCTCATTTGTCAAATAAAGGAGGTGGATACTGTGAGATTAGCTTGTTAGCTCTGTGATTCTAGCACCAGAGAAAAGAAAATTCATTCCTGCAGTGGGTTTTAATGTACATTTTTGCTTTCAAGTATGTGCACAAAGATTTCACAGATTAATTGCCCATTTGACCAATTTCTTGCAGGTACTGTATGGAAGAATTAAATGTGACTAGATGGCATGCTGACACAGACAGAATGGCACTTGAAAGGATAATTAGGATTCTCAGGGTAGGGTTTGAATCGCATAGTGTAGTCTGGAATTTCCTACTGGAATTCATCTCTGGGTCCAAGTGGAAGTTAATGGGGTGACAATTTGTTATGCAAATTTTCATCTTCCTAATAGCTTTCTCAGGAGCATACTAATATGTGTAGGGTGCTGTGGACATGCTGCAGGAGCTGTCACTGTGGTAGCTTAATGACCTTAATTGAGTTTGGAACAAAGGCAGACTTTGTGGGTTTGTTAGCCTAGTGTTAGTCTGCAGATACTGGTAGTGGTCAGGGGAGCAGCATAAGGAATTATAGAGGGAAAGGAAAATGCCCTTCAGCCCATCTCCCTTCAACACATCCTAGTCTTACTGGTCTAGTTGCATAGATGGGTAAACAGATTCCCCTACCCTCCCTGGCTCCCCACCTGCTGGAGTTCTGAGATAGCTGGGGAAGAACATATGCTGTGATGGCTTTCTGAGACACATGCTGTCACAACCACCAGAACAGCTTGAATGTATCTATACCTGCTATTTTAACGTTGTAAAACATTTAAAAGTCATCGTGTTATTTACAGAATATGAGCATCTTGAAGAAAGGAGGAGGAGAGCGGGGCAAGATGGCAGAAGAGGATGTTCAGCAGTTGCCCTCTAGAATCATCAATTTAAACCACTATATATGCACTCAAGTGCTTTATTGAGCACAAAAGAAACCAGGGAAAGATTATGGTACATGGTTATATCTTAACAATAAGAAAAGAACTACTGGAGAAAGTAGGAAGAACGATTTTTTTTTTTTTTGGTACTGGGAATCAAACTCTGGACCTTGTGTTTGCAAGGCAAGTCACGGATCTACTGAGCTAAATCCCCAGCCCTAAGAATAGTTTTATATTACTTGTGTTATCCCTTTCTCAACCCAAGGCAGAACAGTGCTAAGACAATTACTACTTGCTTGAGGAAAAGAGAAGAAAGCAAGTACAGTATTTTTCATAGAACTCCAAAGCTAGGCTTACCACACTAAAATCCAGCACCAGCCAGGTCTCTACAGCCCATAACTCTAGGCTGATATCTGTCAGCTGAACCTTAAGACCCATTCCAATGTGGATGAGAGTCCATAGCTCCTCAAAGATGGACTCAAATTGGTTTGTATTGCTGCTGGCCAACTATAGTGACCTTGAGCTCAAAATAATCCAGCAATAGGTAGGCCTCCACAGATGGCGTTTTATATTCTACCATGGCTGGGCACTGGCTATGGTGATGCAGGGCTTAGGGATCACAACAGACAACTTGCTAGAATTTTCAGATGGGCTTATCAGTAAAGAATATTTCCAGACAAAGGTAGACTGCAAAAACTCTAGTATCTACTAGCTGCTTACTTTTTCAGTGTTTAGACATTACCACATTACCGTAGGAGCATGGGTAACCACAGAAACAGGATACCACTAATCAGACAAAATAAGGTGCCAGTGATTAACTCTAAAAATATGGACATAAACGAATTGCCTAATAAAGAACACAAAAATCATTTCAAAGAAACTCAGCAAACTTAAAAATATAAAGTCCATAAATTTATCAGCGAAATTGAAATAATAAAAACAATTAGAAATGCTAGAACATCAAATATAATGAACAAAATATACGAACTCAAAAACCAGTTGCTTAAAAATGTACTTTAGAAGAGAAAAAAGAAAGAAACAATGTAAAGGATTGAAGAAAACTTACAGGATTTATGAGACTGTAACAAAAAACACAGTCATTGATACTGGTATTCAAGGAGCAGAAAGAGATTAAGAGATAGAGAGGTTACCTAAAGAAAGAAAGAAGAGATAACTCTCCAAACCTGGAGAAAAATATAATATGCAGAAACAAGAAAGTAAAAGGTCTCTATTCAGTTCCAATACAAATATGATTATGCCGTGACATAGAGTTGGCCTTCATATCCGCAGGGTTCACGTCCAGATCCAACCAACCATGGGTAAAAATATTTGAAAAAAAGTTTTATTTCTACTGAACATGTAGGGCATTAACCCCATAATTATCAACTAAATAATATGACATACAAAAGATAATTATTCACATAGCATTTAGAATTTAGTAGGTATAATTAGTAATGTAGAGGTAACTTGAATATTCAGGTAATCTTGCAATTTGTAACAACATAGATGAGCCTAGAGGATACTATGTTAAATGAATAAGTCAGGCACATACAGACAAACACTGCATGACTTCACTCATATGTGGAGTCCATAAAAGTTGTGGATCTCATAGGAGTTGAGAGCAGAATGCTGGTTACCAGAGACTGGCATAGTTATAGGGAGGGAGGATGGTGGGGCTACTGATTAAAACTTTTACAATTACTTTTAGGTAGAAGAAATAAGTTTAAGATACTTGCTGCATATCATAGTGACTTAGTTAATAAGCATATATTGTATTTTTGAAAAATGGTAATTGATATTCAGCATTGTTACCACAAAAAGAAAATACCTAGGTGAAATAATAAATTTGCTTACTAGATAGATTTAACTCTTCCACAAAGCATATATATGTAAAACATTCTCTTGTACATGATAAATACATACCATTTTTATCTGTCATTTAAAATATAAGAAATATGAACATCTTAAATTTTGTTTGGAATTTCCAGAATAACTTAAAATCAATTACTGTGATAAGCACATCATAAAGTAAAGGTAAATTTTGGATAGATTTTTTTCTTTCTGTAACCCTATAATGACTATACCCAGTTGAGAAAAGTTGATTCAGGCCCAGGGGAAAAATGACAAAGAGTTTCCATAACATCACAGTACAGAAAATGAAGTATGAATATTTTACCCAGGCTGGAAGAAGAATAGAGACATCTTTCAAACAAGGCTAACAGCATAATGGGTCAGCAACACACAAAACAATCTGGAACTTGCTCAATGTATTAGTGGTGATTCTTGCTTGGATGTAACATTTCACACCAGCTTACCACTGAAAATAATGTACCAACTTTACGGGGGTCAAATTCCCTTGCCTGATAAATATAAAAATGATATCAAATTTGTACATTCTTCAAACATAATTATGGAAAATCTTTATTTTTGTGCTTTATGCATTCATTAAGCATTTGTTGAAGGCCTGTTGGCATCACACACTATTAATAAATGCAATAGATACAATCATGAATGAGGTAAAATTCTTGCCCTTAGGAAAGAAGGCCCTTCAGGCAGGTGAGGAAGCAGCCGGTAAAAGTTGACAAATTCTGTAGCAAAATTATACATAAAGGAACTAAGCCTTGAGTGAAGTGGTGACTAATATTTGAATGATGTTGAAAGATGAACAGTGTTTATTCAGCGAAAGGATGGGCAGTTGTGGTGCAGGTGGATGGAACTGCAAAAGCTGGGGATAGAGAAAGGCACACCTCAGACACATCTGGGATTTTGATGTGCAGGCATTAAAAGGGCATGCAGAGAGCAAGGGAAAAGTAAACACTTTGGAATAAACAAAACAAACAATAAATGACTCCTGCTTATCTTTTCAGTGCTGCGTATATGAACCTACAGAGATAACACGCCATGGTCCTTAACTAGATGTTTTATAACCCTGTAGAGATTAAAGATGACTTAGAGAAAACTGGTAGCAAGGCAAATAATTCTGTCTGTAGACATGTAAACAAATTCTGTTCTAACTGAGAGACATCATTCTCCTCTCCCCAGAAATAGGCTTTGCATCTACCTACAAATTCCTTTTAATATTCCCAATCCTGTGGTTTGTCTGTTCTTTGCTCTCCCCCTTTAAACCAGTTGTGGCATTTTGTAGGAGCTTGCTTTTAATTAATGAATAAAAAAGATTTTTGACACAGGTTCCCTTTATAGTTGTATGAGAATCATGAGATTACCTCTTTTTAAAAGGAGAAGGATCAGGTCAAACTGCAAAGCTTTCTTGTGATGCTAAGGAGTTTAGGCTTTCTTCTAAAGACATGAATAGCCAGTGAGGAATTTTAGGAATGGGGTATCCTGTAGTTTGAACCTAAGTGTCCTTCAAAGGCCCATGTATTAAAGGATTAACAAACACATGGTGCTTCTGGGAAGCTATGAGAATGTTAAGAGTTAGTCTGGTGGGAGGTTTTAGTTCTTTGGGGTGTGCTCTTGAAGGGGTCTGTGGAATGCTGGTCTCATCCTCTTCCTTTGCTTTCTGGTCACCATAAAGTAGTCGACAGCTTCCTTTACTATGTGTTCCCATCATGATTTTCTGCTTTGCCACAGTTTGAAAACAGTGGGGCCAACTGAACATGAACAGAAACTTCCAAAACTGTGGGCTAAAGCAAACATTTCCACTTTTTAAGTCAATTATGTCAGTTATTTTGTTCCAGCAATGGAAAGCTCACTAATACAGGCTGACATTTACATTTTGAAAAGGTCACTGACTCAGTGCAGAGGAAGCGATAAATACAGGAAGGCTTAAGCTGGAAAAACCAGTTGAGATAAAATTAAATCCTGCTAAAGTAAATGAAGCCTGCCCTCAGAAAATAGCTGTGGCCACAAAAAGCACAAAGTTGCATGGAGAATTATATAAGGGTAGAACTGACACTGTAAAAACCAGATTATTTGAGTATTAAGAATTTACCTGCTGTAGATCTGTTAGTAAGTTTCTCAAAACCCTTTGAGTGTTGGGTGCCCCAGCTTCATAACCTCCCTTGTTACTTTCTGCATAGAGCTGAAAAAGAACTAGGCACATAAGAGGGGAAAGACATATTTAAGTTGAATATTAACATCTTTGAGGTGTATGTGTTTTGAATTAAGTTTTTGTGGATACGAAGAGAAAGGAAGACAGAGTTATATTCTTGTTTATCTGCTCATTTTTTGGAAGGTCTCTCAATCTAGATCATTGGTTAACTAACAAAAACCCACTCAGTTTCAACATCTTGATAATTTAAGATCATGAGCAATGGAAGAATCATACTAGTCTCAATGGACAAGAATTATCAGTGTCTGCATAATCCCTAAATAATCAAGGGTCAAGAGCAACCAGATAGCATATACAAGATCACAAAAATTCCAAATTCTCTCAATCTTAACCAACACTTTTCTTAAATAAATCAAGCCTGTTGTTCTTAAAGAACATCAGTCACCACGACAGGGATATAGGAGTGAGTGGAGAAGGTAATGCCTTGGAGATTTGGGGTGGGCATCACCGCACTACTGAACACACTAAACTCGTGTGCTTCACCTCTGTATTTTCTCAGAGAGCTGTCCCCTGAGAGTGCAATCAGAGCAGCAGCCACGGGCAGAAGCTTGCAAACACCCGTTGCTGTGCTGCATGGGAACAAATCACAGAGACAAGAAAGGAAAAGGCAGGGTTATTCTATAAGAAATTATTTATAAAATCCATAGCTATTAATGTACAGTTCTTATACAGTGTAATAACTCATATCTTTTCCTGGCTTTTTTTCCTATTGGTAGATTTGACAGAACAAACCATTGAATTAAAATGTTTCACTATTCATTCATTCACTCATTCATTCAACAAATAATTCTGGGTGTCTCTTTGTGCTGGGCACTGTGCTGGGACTATGGATGTAGGATTCATCCTGTGGAGCAGGCAGTCTCAGGACTCAGCTGTCTGGAAATCAAAAAACAAGGGGAAGGATAAAAATGAGCAAACACAGGCTGGGGATTTTGCTCAGTGGTGCCATCGCCTGCCTCTCAAGCGTAAGGTCCCGAGTTTGATGACAAACAAGCAAACAAAATGAGCAAACATGACAAAATAAACACAACCTCTGCTAGTTCACAGGTCTAGCTCAGAGACTAGCCATCCCCTTTGCCCGCTGGCTATACAGTTTACAAACCTGCAGAGCATTTTATCAAAGGCAGGAGGGTTGTTATAAACATGTGCAATAGATAAAATGACACTCAAATCTTGATGTTGAAAGAGTCAAAAATCAAGAAAGAAATAACATGACAGTGTGTTTCTATATTATTCATCCAATTAAAAAATAAATCATAAACTAGAAAAGAAAACAACTATGAGAAATTTTCTCAGAGATTCAAATGGTGCTTGCCTCTGGGAAGCAGGCTTATGGGTAACATTTCTTATTCTTGTTCTCTATTTTCCAAATACTTCATATTGATTATGATTTTTAAAAAAATCAGTCAAGTCAAGATTATGTAAGGTAATCTAAACTGAGGCGAGGCAGAAAAGTGTAAAAGCTACAGCTCACCAAAACATCTGTTCCCCTGCCCCACATACAAACCTCCGTGTGTGCATGCACACAGAATGGCAATGTCACTGCCTCAGGAGCACACACAATTAATCATTTGCCATGGTCTAAACTATTTTGTAGGTTAGCCATCCATACACACTGGCTAGTCAACCTTATTCTAGCTAAAAACCAAGCCAAAATAGTAATTAATAATGGGTAACAAAGAAATAAGTGAAGAAATATACTACTGGGGAGTCAAAACAGCGTAATTTTAAGTATATATAGATATACAATTGCCCTTGCAAAAGACATGCATGTTTTCCTGGAGGAGAAATGAGCTTGTATAGTAAAAAAGAGTAATGTAGAGCCTTTTCCCCCCATTTTGCTATCTACTAATCATTTATATTAAGTGACACTGACAAGCATGTGCTCCTTCGTTCTTGTCCTGAATGAGTAATAAATTTGTGGAAAATGAGAAAACACATAAAGATGGCTTCTCGTGTACCAAACTTCAGGCAAACATTAGCATGAAGTGACCAGTGACCAGTGGTGACTAAACATTGACCTCGAGGTCACCATGTGACGCATCATTCTCACCTGCCATGCATGGCCATGAGGAGGCTCAAAGTGAGTTCTGCAGCTCTGGGAAGCACCTGTGTTTCCACACCAGTCCTCTGAAACAGCTCTTGGGGGGCCTGAAAAAGCTGTGGCACAGAAAGGAGTCCCGCACTGGCCTCCCAGACACGTGGATGGACTAGGGCCTCCTGAATCAAGGTGCTGCTGACCAAGTCCATAGCAGGAAGCAGATGGACGACTGAGCCTTTGAGTAAAGCAAACATCTTTTACTGTTTAAGTAAGAACATCTGATGTCTGCCGTTTTTCCTAAAAGGAATTAAATACTATCACTGTATGGATACATAATTTTTGTGTGTAATTCAGATGATTATTCTGATGGTCAATTTTATTTTGGAAAACTATGCTTTGAGATAATAAAAGATAGTCAAAATTTTATTATCAGTATAATCTCTTGGATGCCATTTTGTAGAATGAAATTAAAAAGGAACAGAAGGGAGAAGCTTGAAAAATAAGCCTTCTGACAAAGTTAAGACACCATAGTGATAAGTTAGGAAAAAAATATTTTATCTTCTGCATTAAGCAGACTGAACAAATTAACCTTTCATGTTCAAATCATCTTTTCTGCCTGCAGCCTAGCTTCTGAAAAGCACAGCATGTTAGGGTGTTAATTGCCATGGTTAAAATCCCTGTGATCTTTGTAAAGAGCAGTTGCTGAATTATCACTCTTTAGACACCATTCTTGTCTTAGAAATATAATTTTTAAAATGTTGGTTCCATCAATATTATGATCTAGAAGATGCACTTAATAAAAACTAGAGCTGATTACAAAAATAATAGCTTATTTCATATATATATATATATATTCCCATGTTCTAAAAAATTATACAAGGCAATGAATAGAAAGAAAAAATGAAATGGAGCTAACCCTATACTTTTTCTTTTTATTGAGTTTATTGGTACATTCTAGGTATACAGTACAGTTACATTCATTACTGGGATCTTGTACCTTTACATGACAGGTCTTGGTTCTCATTTTTTCCCCTTGTCACTGCCCTCCCTTCACCCCTCCTCCCCTCCCCATTTACAAACACTTTATTTCCATTTTTTCATTTTCTCATATTTTTTTGTTTTCCCTTATTCCCTTTCCCCTACCCTTCCCACTTTCCCTATACCTTTTAACCCTATAGTTTTTCATGGGCTGAAGATGACAGATAAAATTAATAAATATCCCATATGTCACCCAAGAGGTGGGGATGTCAAGAAACTGAGAGTGGCTGGCATTTAAAATGCTTCAGCCTGTGAAATGATAAAACCCCATGCTTCTCTCTACTTTGTAAATCACTCTCACAGATAAGGAAGCCAGCAAGTATAATAAAATTTTTATTTGTTCTCTGATATTGCTTTTAAGGGGAGCATCTAAGGAACAGAGGAGAGGTTTTAGGAACGAGGCTTAAATAAAACCTGGCCCCGAGTGACTGAAGCCGTACACTCTTTTATCATTATTTGATCTCAACACCTGTGGCCTGGTCTGAGAATTCTGAATGCAGGCGGTTTTGTTTTCTGCTGAGATTCTGTGTTATGGAAGCCAGATAATGGTGCTGTCCATTGATCTCACACCAGATTTCCTCAGCGATACTCTCCAGGTTGGCTACTTGGAGCTTATGTGACACTTTATCATAGTGTTTGGAATTTTTTATTTTATTTTGTTTTCAAATGTTTGGATACTTTTTCTAGGTAGAATTTTGAACCACTGACTTATACTTTGTTAATATTTCTCATGATTATTATTTATATTCAATGCTTCCGATGCCAGGGATAACAAAAGGTATAAAAATTTAAAAATCTACCTTCTCCAATTATGTCATTCTATGTTTCTAGGCATTAATGATGGAGACTTATCATGAACTTTTGCTCTTAACTTTCTTTGTTGGGAGAAAATCTTCATGAAAATAGCATGATTGGGGTAATTGTGTGCATGTGCGTGTGTGTGTGTGTGTGTGTGTGTGTGTGTGTTTGTGTGTTTGTGTGCTACTAGGGATTGAATCCAGGGTTTCTGCATTAAGTTTTATCTCCAGCTCTTATTTTCTATTTGAAGACAGAATATGGCTAAGATGTTAAGGTGCCCTGGCTAGGCTTGAACTCACAATTCTCCTGTCTCTGCTTGGGAACCGATTTTTAATGAGTGCATTCTATGTTTTATTTATCCCCAGAATTAAAAAGAGATAGTAATAGGTGAGTTTTATTTGTCTAGAGCGGTGATTAAAAAATGCTTTTTGTAAAGCCCGAATCCTTTCTTCAGAGGAATCTACCATAGAAGCTCAATATGGGAAATAGCGAAATGCAGAGTTGTTCTTGTTGAGGGTGTGGTATCTGAGTATTCTGCCTCCCTCCATCTCTTCTTCCCGCCTTCCTGACTGGTTGTTCCCTACCTCATATCATGTGTACTTTATGAAGCACAGTTGGAAAATCATCTGTCTTTATAACTTATTAGGTAGAAGGAAAAAATATAAAAATTACAGCAATCAGAAGTGATATATCTGTTTAAGTTTGATACAAATGTCAGAAATTATTTCACATGAAGTGATTTTTTTAATGCTGTAAAGAATATGTGAATGATTGATAACTTTGGATATGCTAAATACCTGAATTTATTTCACTTTGGAAAATTTTTACAGCATAAAATTTTTTTTTACTATCTTTTACCTATAAAATAGTATAAGAAAAGAAACCCATAGTATTCAATCAGTTATAAATTTAATTCAAAAGGGGGATTCTAGGAAACTCTCTAGTTGATTTGAAATTTTATGGCTTGTATATCTTTTATTTGGACATCCTTTTGCATGGTCAGTTATTGATAAGAAGTAAAACTTGAATGTTCAATTTGAAATTTAAATTTTAAATTGCTGTACTTAAGTAAGTACAGATCCTTAACTAACTTTTTGGTGATTTTATTTTGTGTTGATATTGGTATCTTGAAAGGAAAATGAAAACTAAATGTTTCTAGAAGCTAAATAGGAAAAATTAAAAAATTAAAGTCTTCATCCACAGTCATTTCTATTGTCAGTAATAGAGCCACGCACAGACACCCTACACACACACAAACACACACACACACACACACACACACACACACACGTCTTCTCTGTTACAAATGAGCTCAGTCCAGAGACCCAGCCTTCTAGAGCTTAGCAGCTACCTCCATGGGGAGGGAAAAGTTTTGGTTTCTGTATGAATCTTACATTGCATGTCATTAAGTTCAGATATATCAAGTGTTTCAAGAGAGCTTGTACTTACACTGACATAGAGTTTGCACTGATCATAATCTGAAGGCTGTTCTATAAATGGCATTCTCAATACTATGAAGAGTATCTGCAAAGGAAATATGAAATATCATGGGTAAAGGGCTGTTTTATGATATCAATCCCACATCTTAGAAGGAAATCTCATAACCCCAAATTAAGGTGGAGAGCTTTCTTTTCTATCCACAAACAAATATGTAATAATGTACTTACAGTCTCCCAGCCCTGGAAGTGACCTTCAGCGTACCCTCTGAATCTAGCAAGTAGAAAAGTTCACCAAAAACTGGTGAGTCCTCCTGCATCAATCTTTTTACTTATTATATAAGGCAATATACTTGTGAAATGAATAGTACAAAAAATTGTAGAATATAAACTCAATCTTGTTAGTATATTCCAGTCTTATGCACATACATATTTTATACATATATGAAAAAGATGCAAATATTTAATGAATTTTCATCACCTGATCCTGGAATGACTCTAGGCCCTTGAAATACAGCAGATAAAAATCCTTACTCTTGTGGATTTTAACTCTTAATGACATCCACATTATCATGAACAGTAGGTCAAATCCTGAAATTATTGGTGCTTTTAGTTATTTTTTCCTTGCCACTATTATCTAAATTGTTCATAAAGGGCATATATTGTTTTTATAAGAAAATAATTATTAATATATCTTATTTTGAGGTTGACATCACTGCAGCAATGATGAGCATTTCTGAGCTCTCCCCAGGCACTGACTGTGTAGCCACCCATTTCACAGTGCGCAGGAGTAGAAAGAGCCCAGGAGCCAGCCACACCTAGTTCTACTGCTTCCTTCCTGTATCCTTTAGGGTGATTTAGTTTTTGAACTGCAGTTTTCTCATCAGATGAGTAGGGATTATAATACATTCCTCATAGGGTATTTGCATGACTTGACTAGAAACTTGTAAGTAATATACTTATTAAGTTGTTTATCTTACTTTCCTTGAGGACCTACAACTTAAATTGGTTCCATTAATCCTTCAGATTTGATTTCCATTTTGTTTAAGAGCCATATAACAGTCGCATGACTTTTGGCTGTCTCATAACAGAGTTATTTGTTGTCTAAGACTGAAATGATCAATCCTCATATCTAGCAAAATTGAAAACTACAGAGTAGATCACCTCATTCATTCAAATCATCTCTAGTGTCATCCAATAAAGAATGTTAATTGTTTAGCCAATTTTAGGCACTTAAAATTGCCTGTTTTAAGTGATTATTGTTGGTATAAAGCTGTGGTCTTCAAAATAAGGCTCCAGGGCCAGCAGCATCAGTATTACCTGGGCACTTGTTAGAAACACAGATTCTAACAAGGCTGCACCAAAACTTCAACTCCATACTCTGAAGGGGAGATCTACTAACATTTGTTTCAACAATAAAGTAAATCTTATGTAGACTAAGGTTTGAAAACTACCTTTGCAGAGGGAGTTTATTGATTCTGGAGCAATTGTCTTGGATCCAGCTAACTTGCAAATGATTCTTAGGGATCATTTATATAAATAATCAGATAAGATTGCAAATCTTGATAAGAGCTGTAAATGTCTTCCTTTCCAATATTTTTACCTTGTGTATATAAGTGTGCATGGATCAAAATTCCCACATGGGAACAGCAAGTTTCAACACATCATATTATTAGAAATCCAACTGACACTGATTTACTGGAAGGCTCTCTTGACAAGGTCTGTCAAAGAAAGCTTCTTTTGTTTGCAACAGTGCACAGGGGACAGTGAGGCTCCATTGCCCTATATTTTATTTATATATTTATTTTTGCTCCAGACTAGTGGTCTATCACAGTGCTGATATGAAGTATTCTTCTTTCTCTCCCTCCTTACTTTTAATAGAACTGTCAAAAATAATAATTTAACATGTAATCGATATAAAAGTTATTAATGAGGTCTTTATATTAAGTTCTTTTACACTTGCAATACATCTGAATTCAGTCTAGCTATATTCCAAAGGCTCAGTACCCACATGGGTCTAGACTTACAACTCATTTTAAAGACCTTTGGGAGGGGAGCTGTTCTGAGAGCATAATCTTTTTGTTTTTTGGTACCAGGGATCAAACTTAGGACCTTGCACTTGCCAGGCAGGCACATTGCCACTGAGCTAAATCCCCAGCCCTCTTAATCTTTTGATTATGTGTCAGGGTTGTTGGTTGGAATAAGCCTGAGATTGCAGAGTCATTGGGGAGGGAACACGCAGTTTCTCCAGGACAGGATCCCTGGAACCTGGAAATCAATGGTCAGAAGACCAAAAAAAGGGTGTAGAGGGTATGTGAAAACATTGAGGGAACTGATAGAGAAGAAGAAAATGCAATCCATTGCTCGAGAAGAGAGATTACTGACTCAGATCAAGGAACACTCCACAGGTGCTCACTGAGAAACAGAGCAGATGTGGATTGGGAGAGTCTTGAACACTGGAGGCAGCAGTTAAATTGAAAGACAGTATCCCCCCAGCACCCACTCCAGGGAGAAAAGCCTCTCTTGAGGCTCCTGCAATTGGCAACTGGCAGGCGGGGCCACCATTTTGAGCAGAAAGGCGCAGACTTTAACTCTGACAGCAGAACAGTGTCGCTTTCTTCCAGGGCCACTGTGCTGTCCTGAGAAAGGAAGTAGGGAAAAGCTGTCCAGTCTCAATAGATTCTTAGCAGAAGAAGGTCAGCAGATTGAAGAAATTTATATTGAGAAGTAGAAACTGGATCCAGCCATACTGATCCCAGGACCACGCAGGGCCATTAAAAAGGTTCCAGTTACAAAGGACTGGAGGCACTCACTATTTCACTGGAGATGCGGGTGGACAAACAGCCTTGGCCAATGGCAGAAAAGAGACCCCACCCCACCCCCGCACTCCAACCATGGACACAAACAAGCAAACAACCTTAGTCAGAGGCAGGACAAAGGATCCCCACTCCCCCAACACTGCCCCCAGACAGAACGTGAAAATCCTCAAAGATGTGGAACAAAGAATCCCATTCAAGACCTAGGAGGGGCAGCAGTGTACAGACCTGGGGATAGCTTCAGGCTATCGCCAGCAGAGGGCACCATCGTGGCTGAGAGAGCCGTGAGGACAGGATCACAGGAGGGAGCCTTGGGCAAGAGACATTGGAAAGGCTGCTGACCCCGGAAGCGCCCCAGCTCTCACTCTTGGAAGTCAGAAACAGCCCTGTGTCTTGCACGGATTTTACTACAGACCTGATGGGGCCGCACAGCACATCTACAGGCTCTGTCTTGGACACTAATACAGAACAGCATGCACCAGAGGAATTTCAGTATTTTTATTATTTTTCTTTTTCCTTGTTTGCTTGATTCATTTCCTTTCTTCATTCTGCTCAAGTTTTTTTTCCCCTGTTGTTGTTTAGGTTTTACATATTTATTCTTGTTCTGTTCTGTTCGTCTTCTTTCCCTCTTTGGTGAACTTTATGCAGCTTTCATGTGAGTGAATAGTGTCTCTTGCTTCCATATTCCTTGGCTTCCTTCTTCATGCTTTCTCTCCTGTCCTCTTCTCCAATATCCCAAAGCTTGAGTGTTCACCCTTTGCCCTCCAGCCTTACTTCTACTATATTTCTCTTCGCTTATCTCTCTGTCTCATCCCCTACAGGATTTCCCTCCCACAGGATAAAATCACTCTACTACACGAAAGGGAAAATCACTGCTCTTGATTTACATTGGATCTTGCTATGCAATGGTAGAGTTTGCTCATATGCTTAAAGGTACCAAAGTAATAGGCATCACAATAGTCTGTGTTAGATACTATTGATAATGCTAACTGTAGTAGTTTAGCCAGGATATCATACCTGTTGTAATCAGTTATTCTCCAGTCTATGACAAAACTGTAATTGTATGGGGTCACAATCACCACCACAGTCCAGTATCAAAGGACTGGGTGCTGAGCTAAATATGTAGCAACCTCTCATCCTTAATAAATTTGAAAGGTAGGCTCAAAGACCACACAAAGACCAAGAATCACCTACACCTAGAAGACATCTCTTAGGAATAGGCATTTCCTAGAGAAGCCTCAATAATAGCAATAAAGCTATCCACCATAAAAAATCTACCAGCAACAACTCAGAAAACAAAATAAAATTTAAAAATAGGAAACAACAGGGACAGGGATTTAGCTCAGCGGTTTGGTGGCCTGCCTTGCAAGCCCAACGACCCGAGTTCAATCCCCGGTACCAAAAAACAAAAATAGGAAACAACAAGACATAGAAGCAAAATGTAACCCCAGATGTCCTGCACACCCAGGACAAGTACAGAGATAGAGGAAATAGGAAGCAATATACCTGAACTTTCTGAAATGATAGCTACAGAAGTAAACAAACAAATAGAAGAGACTATAGAGAAAATAATCCTCCATGTAAAAAAAGAAATGTCAATCAAAATGGAAGACATGTTCAATGAAACTAGAGTAGAAACAAATGAAAAAAAATAGAGGAGCTTGGGAAAATGATGGAAACCATGAACATCCAACACAAGAAAGAAATGGAATCCATGAAACAGATTCAAACAGATATCCAGGAGATTAAAAAAAAAATACACTGGAAGACAATCATTTAAACCAGGGTGAAGACAGAAATTCTGACCTAGAATACACAATTGCAGTTACTGACCATGAAAAGAAAGATATTTTGAAAACAACTAGAAGTCATAAAAATAATCAATCCAACAATTACAAGATGATGCAAAAAACAAAAAACCCACCAATATAAGACTAATTGGAGTCAGTGTAAGAGCAGGAGAAAGTGCAAGTGCCATAAAAACAAAAAATAAAAACGAAACAAAAACCCCACCTGTTCACAGTTGTAATGGCAGAAACTCCCAAACATGAAAAAAGAATTGGACATACAAATATGTAAGGCATACAGAACTCCAAATATCCATTATCAAAATAAATCTACACCAAAATATATAATAATCAAAATCCTAGAAATTCAGCACAAGAACAAAATATTAATTCTATAAGAGATTTAGAGAAGATCTACTGACAATTCTCCCCAAACTCTTTAATGAAATAGAAGGGCAGCAATACTCCCAGAATTATTCCTGGAAACATATTATCCTGATATCAAAACCAGAGAAGGACCCAACCAAAAAAGAAAACAATACTCGAATTTTCCTAATGAACATCGATGTAGAAATCTTCAATAAGATTCTGATAAACAGGGCAGGGGATTTAGCTTAGTGGTACCACACCTGCCTTGTAAGCACAAGGTCCTGAGTACTGGGGGAAAAAAAAGTGGCAAGAAGACACTGGCAAAGAGAATACAACAACTCATCAAGAAGTTTTATACACCATGGGCAAGTAGGATTCATCCCAGGGATGCAGGGATGGTTCAACATATGCAAATCAAATGTAGTACATCATATCAATAGCATCAACAAAACCAAAGACAAAAATCACATGATCCTCTCAATAGACACAGAAAAAGCATTGACAAAGTGTAACACCATTCATGAAAACAAAAACAAAAACAAAAAAACATACAGAACTTTGGAATAGATGGTCTTTACATCAATCTAATAAAAGCTATTTGGGACAAATCAACAGTCAACATCATGCTAAATGGACAAAAATTGAAAGCTTTCATACTAAAATCAGGAACAACACAAGAATGTCCACTATCACTTCTCCTATTCAACGTTGCTCTGGAAACATTAGCCAGAACAATTAGAGAAGAAAAAGAAATAAAAGGAATAAAGATAGGAAAGGAAGAAGTTAAATTGTCATTATTTGCAGATGACATGATTCTCTATATAGAAGACCCCCAAAACTCCACCAAAAAAGTCCTAGATTTAATAACCAAGTTCAGTAGCATAGCTGTATACAAAGTCAATGCTCAAAAATCTATAGCTTTCCTGCACACAAATAACAAACTTACTGAAAAAGAAATTAGGGAAATAACACATTTCACAATAGCATCAAAAAAAGAAAAATGAAATACACAGAAATCAATCTAACAAAGGAAATAAAGGACCAGTACATCAAAAATTATAGTATTCCGAAAAAGGAGATTGAACAGGATATTAGAAGATGGAAAGATATCCCCTACTCTTGGGTAGGAAGAACTAACATAGTGAAAATGACCATATTCTCAAAATTGTTAAGCAGATTTAATGTAATCTCAATCAAAATACCATTAGTGTACCTCACAAAACTAGATAAAACATTTCTAAAATTCACTTGGAACCAAAAGAAACCTAGAATAGCAAAAACATTTCTGGGCAACAAAGCCAAGGCAGGGGGCATCACAATCTCTGACTTGAAATTATACTACAGAGCTATTGTGATAAAAACAGCATGACTGGCCAAACAACAGACTGAGAATCAATGGAACAAACTAGAGGAAGCAGAAACAACACAAAACACCCAGTCATCTTATCTTTGACAAAGGGGCTAAACATGTTCCCTGGAGGAAAGATAGCCTCTTTAATAAGTGGTGCTGAAAAAACTGGCTTTCTACATGCTGAAGATTAAAATCAGAACCATGTCTCTTACCATGCACTAAAATAAAATAGAAATGGATCAAAGATCTAAGTATTAAAGCAGAAACACTGAATCTGCTGGAAGAGACAATAGGTAGAACTCTTGAGGACATACAGGTAGGCAACGAATTCACCAGCAAAACACAAACTGCATGGAAAATAGTGCAAAAAATCAACAACCAGGATCTCATCCTATTAAAAAGTTTTTGGATTACAAAAGAAATCACCAACAGAGTGAAGAGACAACCTACAGGGTGGAAAAAAGATTTTAGCAAGTAGTCCCTCAAGTAAAGAATTAAGATATAGAACATACAAAGAATTGAAAAAAATTAGACCCTCCAAAGTAAAAAACCCAATCCAAAAATCCAGGCATTTGAAATGAATAGACAATTCTTATACGAAGAAATAGAAATGTCAAATAAATATATGAAAAAGTGTTCAATATCACTGGTCATCCAAGAATTGCTAATTAAAACAACACTGAGATTTCATCTCACTCCAGAAATAAACCAACAGCATTATCAAGAAATTAAATAACAAAGAAACATTATCAAGAAATCAACCAACAACAAATTCTGGTGGGCCTGTAGTGAAAAAGAAACCCTTCTCTACTGATGGTGTGAGTGTAGAGTGGTGCAACCACTGTGGAAATCTGTATGGAGATTCCTAAAGAAATTAGGATTAGAGATAGCCCTGCAGGGTATCTTCCTGAAAGAATTAAAAGCATGACACCACAGTAATATATGCACACCCATGTTTATACTGACACAGTTTGTGACAGATAAATCTTGGTTGTAAACAACCCAAAAGCCCATCCACTAATGAATGGATAAAAAAGATGTGTTTTTCTTTATATGGTAGAGTACGACTCACCCATAAAGAAGGACAAACGAGACCTTTATAGCTAAATGGATGCAACTTGAGACTGTATTCTTAAGTGAAATATATCAGACACATATGTGCAAGCATAGCAGTGCCTCTCTGGTGTGAGATACTGAAAGGGAAAATAAGGACCAAAATCTATAATAGGTAATATGAAACAGGAAGAAACTGTTCAAAAGGAAAGGGACATTGTGAAGGGAGGAGGGGAAAAAGGAAGGGAAGAAAAACAAGAAAAGAAAAAAAGACAATGGAAACAAAACTTGTAAATAAGGAGAAGAGAGGAGTTGAAGGGAGGAGAGGCAATTGAGGGAAAAAGAAGAATCAAGATTTACCATGTGCAGGTGCAAATTCCCTTTGATGAATGTGATCATTATGTATATTTAAATTGTGCCAATAAAATTAATTTAAAAATAAAGAATCATTGGTGTTAGATGTGGGGAGTACCATGTCCATCCATTAGACTGGCTAAGTAGAGTGTATTTAGTGAAGAGAATTAGGCTAAGTGACAGCAATCTGACGATGTCATCATTTAAATGACAGAGGAGGAAGAGAAACCTAAGAGAAACAATGAGTGGGGAAGGGAAGAGAAACCAGGAGAAAGCAATAGGTGAAAGCCAATGAAGATGAGTTTCAGAGAGTAGAGATGTGCTAATACTTCAATACCTGAAAGCCACAAAAAG